AACTCCAACTCGAAAACATTAATCTTTGTTAGTGGCTTCATTGTTGGCTATGACGTCGCAGTTTGTTGGATCGAAAAGCACGCTGGAATCCAGTTAGAGGACGAAGAACTAGACTAGTTTCGAGTTTTCTAGTTTTCGGTTTTAGTACTCAAAAAAAAAAAAAAATTAAGTGCAAGATGGCCGCCTGCCTTTACGACCGCCTAGATATCTGCATAATTACGATTATTGTGACTGTTGGGGGGTCGTCTAAGTACTGTTTGTTATTGCTCAAGTATTTACAGGCAGCATGTTGTGTGCGGGTGGGTGCTTTTTCAAAACTAATGACCAATTTATTTTAAAACGATTGCTGGGAGATGTTTCAAGGTCAATCAACTCAAACTAAGATGATGTATGCGAGGAAATTTGAACAAGACAGTCATTTCCGCGACATTTTTATTTAAAATGGATGATGGCAGAATATACAGCGCGACGCAGAAACATAACCAATTAATTAGTTTTTGTCCAATGTGAGGTTGGCAACAATATTTAGGACACGGGGGTCTAAACGTCAATACAGCACAATGCCTAAAAGAGTTTTTCATGATTTCGAATTTTTTTGTATCCTTTATTGGAGTAAGTCAAGAAATGTCTATTGTTTTTTTAATTAAATTTCGTAAGTTTCAAATTTGAGTTTTTCTTAATAAATAAAATAATTCAAACTTAATCTTTGATGTTTGCAAATATACAACGTATCTCAAAAATAAGTACTTTAATTTCAATCGAGAGCAAATGCGACTCTGTTTTATGTACCATTAATTATAAATACTTAATTTTGTCTTTTTTTCTAATGTTAAAAAATTTGTATTTTTTTCAACCGTTGTTCAATTTCAAAAAGTATTAAAAAAGTGTGAAAAAAAAATATTTTTCTTCACTCTTGTGGAAACAATACAATCATTACTTAATATTAAAAAAAATATAATATTACACTCGTGAGAAATGCCCATTTCCACTCGCCTTTAACTCGTATAATACATTTCATCTTCGTGGAAACTGTCTCATTCGTTGAATAATATACTATTAAGTTTTATTTGAAAGCTAACACATTATAAAATTAATTACAAATTTTGTAGGAAAAACAGTGGTTAAACCTAATGTAGACTAATAATTGTTATTCCAATAACAAAAATAAGTTTATAATTAAGTTTATGTACTTATTTCTAAAACACGTTGTGTATCAACAAGTAAGCAGCTTACTAGAACAAAACTGGTATACAATTTTTTTTTAAATACTAAGTGGCATTGTTAAAAAAAACACGGTGTGATCGCTTGTAACTAACACCCTGTATATGGGAAAACTTATAAACTATGTAAAAAAATAAAGTAAAGGCAAGAAAGAGAAGCCCACATTTAGGTGTAAAAAACAGTTGTTTTTTTATATTTTTATTATTGTCGATGTTTTAATTTCTATTTCAAACATGTTTTAGAAAAAAATACATTTTTTATTTACGCTATACAGGCTGCGCCAGAACTCGCACCCCGGAGAAAAATGCCATATAAGGTGGAATACAAAAAACATGGAAAAAATGTTAAAAAATGTACCTACCTATAAAAATTTCGAAGTTATGAGGGTTTAAACTATCGTTTAAATAATTGTAAAAAAACGTTTACAAGAGCATCAGTATCATTAAAGAGACATAAAAAAATGTCAAATGTCAAAAAATAAATGTCAAAATTTTTTGACAGATAGAATTTTTTAAACATTTTTTCCATGTTTCTGGTATCTTACCTTACTTAAAAAAAAAATCTGAAACCCAAGTTCTGGCGCACCCTGTATAAAAAATGGTTTAAAATTTCGAATTTCTTTATTTTATTTTGTAGTACATAACTTGCAAACATACAACGTGTCTCGGAAATAAATACATTAATTTCAACTACGAGCAGAACTCGTCAAATGCAACATTTTTTATATACCATTTTTTCTCAAAAAATATCAATTTCGATAAAATTCTACACAATTTTCTTGTTCTTGAGAGCCTGATTAAAAATTACTGATTAAAATTAATGTACTTATTTCTGACAAACATTGTGTATCAAACAGTCTACTAGACCAAAATTGGTAGGTATACAAAATGCACGTTAAAAATTAAAAAAAACTGAAAAAATACTTTAAAAAAACAACAATAAAGGAACCAATATTTTGGTGTTAAAAAATGTTGTAAAAACTTTTAATCAGTTCTTCTCAACATTCAACTTCTCAAGGTATTTTTAATATTGTCGATTATTTCTGTTGAAACATGTTTTTTTTTTTTAAATATTTTTTGCAAAATGGTTCAAATCGTCACTTTTCAGACTGAATTTCAATGTTTGCAATGTTTTAAGTTTCTGTGGGGCGTAGAAAAAATCCAGTACTTCCCTCGTGCTCACACCATGATGACAAAATATACAGAGCGACGCAGCTAATTAATTAGTTCTTTTATGAGGTTGGCAACAATACTTAGAAAACAATTGTTCAGGGCCGGGCTGGCCACAGGGTCCTAACTTTAATACAGTACAATGTAAATCAAGAAATATCTAATTTCAAAATTAATAAAAGACATTGAGTGTCACAGTTAAAAAACACTCTGTATATGGAAAAAACATGAAAGGGAAGAAAAGAGCGTTGTGTTTTGCCTCTGTGGGGCGTAGAAAAACTCAGTACTTCCCTCGTGCTCACGCCAGTCCTTTGTTAGATTTTCCATTCAAGATGGCCGATGAGTCATTTCATCTTGAATCTTGAATAATCTCTCTTGTATTCGTTTGGCACACTTCGGCGACATCTCATTTGAATAAGACAGCAAATTAAGATATACGACAACAGGTTTTATCCGGCGTGTTATCTCGTTGAGTATTCGCGCCGCTCTTCGCAATTCGCATTGTTCGTCACGTCTTTTCTTCGTTCGTTTATTCAAATTCTCTCCTCACACTCTACGTCCTCACGTACGGCCCTGAGAATCGCACACGTGACCATCACTTTGACATTATTCCCACGATTGTTTTAGTCGACATACAAGAACGATAAAATGGGCATGTGTTATACCGTTGAAATCAGAAAAAATGCTCTTTTAAAAAAATACAAATTAGGCCCTTGTTGCTATTAAAAAAAAATCAAGTTGGCTTTGTATCGCAGTGACAAATGATGGTGCAAACTTGTAAAATAATCTAAACGATAGAGTTTTAAACTGTCTATATGTGTTTACAGTTTCAAATTATTATATTGAACCGTTTTTAAACTGTATGAAAATTTTTTACACTTTTGGTCACCCTGTATAGTGTTGTTTTTTATATTTAATCGATTAAACATGATCCGAACACACCCATATGATATCTTTATCCTTCTAGGCAATAAATCAAAGGCCATTTAAGATTTACAATGCAATAAAGTGGAAATATTTTACAAATTAGTATGCCAGAGATAATTTAAGAGTTGGTTGTTAAAAATCAACATTCATAGATTCAAATCCGGATGACGAATCCGATTTTGTGGAAAGAGGATCCTTGGCATTTGATCCTCGGACCGCCCATGTCTAAGGCTATTGCACTTTTCGGTAGCCGATAAATTTTGTGAAAACATTGAATTTGGTTAAAAGTTCCGCCGATGTATGAAAACACGTTCGACGTGTTTAATCGACGATAAAATAAATGAATTATGTTCGATACTAATAGATTAAACAATATGGTGGCCGATGAGCACGTTTTATACTCTAATTGACGCTCATTTTGACAGCGATTTATTTAATTGAACACCTGAAAATTGAACGGCGGGGTAATAAAACGCGACCTGAATATTTATGGACCAGGAATTGGATTATGGCATGCAAATTTTCAAGACATAAACGAAAAACATAAACACGAAAAGAAAAAAAAGAAAAAAGTCAATGAATAATTTTGTTTCTACTGTAGTTTTAAATAAATTTTAAATAAATAAATTCAAACAAAATGCTTCTTTAGTTTTCAAATATTTAGAAATAAAAAAAAATAAAGAAACATTGACAAATAGAAAACAAAAAAATGAAGAAAAATAAAAAAACGAAAAAGAGGACAAAAAGAATTAATAATTAATCGTCGTTATCATTAATTAACGTTTTCACAGCGCGTTTCAACTTAAAGAATTATTTTTATTTGTTTTGGTTATAGAAGGTGCTTACTAACAGTGGTTGAATTATGCATTATTAAACTTTCTTTTTTTAGGTTTGAAAAAAAATTGAATGAAGCTGAATCACTCAGTATGTAAATAAAATAATTATGACTAGAAAAAATAAACAACAAAAATTGTATGAATTAAGAACAGAATATGCGTAATAGATACACAGGATGAGTCAGATAGGATGATCCAATATATTTTTTTATCTTCACCTGGCGCAGGTTACGTCTCACTACTACCTGCTTTCCGACGATAAGTACATAAGAGATTTGCTACCTTTCTGGTGCAGGTGGTCCTGGTTTCTGAGGCAACAAATCATGATCACTTCACCAGGTGTGAAGTTCAATTCACAATGAAGTCTCAAATGGCAAAAATAATACAATCCCCCTCTAGAAGCTACTTTGATCACCTTTTTTGTTTTAAAAATTTAACAAAAAAAAAACAATGTTGCATTCATAAATGGAGTTCATCGTCACAGCTGAATCGACGTGTATGTTAATAAAACAATTTTTGGAACTACTGTATCTCACTATAAGTAACAAAAATATGTGAAGATTAGGAACAGAACTAACAAAATAAAGAAGAGAAAAGCAGCGTCACAAGAAAAAATAAAAAATAATATATACCGGGTTTTAATGAAATAAAATCTTCGAAATTTTTCACATTTATTTGGGCATAGATAAGGTACATTTCATAATTTTTTGGTAATTTTTCACTTACAAACAAAGCCAAAAAAAAGCAATTTTTTATTAAAAGGTCCAGTTCTTATTTTTATACTGACCAGCATATAAAACAATGTATAAAATAATACATATAACTTCTCTCCTAAAGACTACTTCGATATAAAATAAATGAAAAACAAAGGCAAAATATAATTTTTTTTGAAAAAATGTTTTCTTGCTGAAATTTGGAATTAGCGTGTATTTACCTAATAATAAAAGGCAAAGCAAAATCGAGACTTTAAAAATTGTAATAAAAAAATTAAGGTAAAGGAAAAGAGAAAAATCAGTCAATAGTCCAACAAAAATTTGCATGAAATTTTTTATTCTATTTCACCCTTACATCCCGTTTTAACTATTGTTCGCCTACTTTATCATCCCCGTTTTGCTGCTCACCTTCCGCACTTCGTTTCTTGATTTTGGCCTTTTCTTGTTTGGCTTCTTCTTGTTTGGCTTTTTCCTCAACTTGAGTTTCAGCTTCTGCGGTTTCGCATGGACTTCGTTTGAATTTTGGGTGGTTCACGAAACCAGCCCCGGCCCCAGCACCACCCCCAGCTCCAGCCCCAGCTCCTGCTGAAAAACCAATACTCCCCCCAAATCCGCCACCCATTCCGGCTTCACCTCCACCGCCACCCCCTCCTTGAGCTGAAACTTCTAAAGTCACCTAAAAACAATAAATGATAACACTTTTCAGAAAATTCTACTATGTTAAAATACAGCAATCAAGACTACCAAAAACACAAACAGGAGCTTGTTCATTTTGAATGATTTCTGTGTGGTTTGTGGGGTTTTTATACAATGGAAGCAGCGCTATTATATTTTTAATATCAGTAAATAAGGTAACCGGAAATTGTAAAATGCACTTATATGCAATTACTAGAGTTAGGTTTCATGTAAAAGTTGTTGATTTTATCCGAGATAAGTAGCACAGCTGTGATTTAACTAATTAAGGGTACTTAAAAGCCAATTATTTGTTGTTAGAGATTGACAAAAAAGCACGTTCGGGCAATTATTTGGTAAAAAAATTAACACGTTAAAATGCTCTACGACAATTAGTTTTTGACAATGTTTTTTAAATATGGTTTTCTAGAAGTAATTTCAAGGACTAAACACAATGCAACAGGTTAAAATACTCTACGATGCGTAGTTTTTGAGATATTGATTAATAAAGCTAAGAATAGGGTTATAAGTATAGGCACTATATCCACTTGTTACCAAAAAATAAAAAAAATGTTTTTTTACGAAAAATTGGTACCTTTAAATAAATAGATAATTTAAAGCAAATACTGACGTTTCTTTGCTTTTTGCTCTAATTCTTATAGTTTTCGAGAAAAACGCATTTAAAGCTTTATAATTTTTACTTTTTAAACGCCGATTTCAATTAGAGTTATCCCAAGAAGTCTAACACCAAAGATTTTTTAATAACTACTTATTGTAGACTAATGATATTTTTCCATAAAATAGAATACTATATTAAAGTACAAGTTGCAGAAGGTATCTATCTATTCAAGCACAAATTCTAAATTACAAAACGAGCCGCTTAGCGGCGAGTTGAGGAACAAATGAGTGTTTCTGCAACAAGTGCTTTATACTATTTTTTCTATTTTGCCGCTTTATATTATTTTCTAAATTAAAAAACGAAAATTTTAATTCTTTTTTCTAGAGAATTTTGCGACGGTTGGCGACATTTATGTGGAATAATTTTAGGCGGCTGTAAAAAATAAAAATAATTTTTATTTTCACATTAAAAATGAATTGTGAAGAAAGTCCGTCACTAAACTTAAGTTAACGCCAATGACCTATTCCAGCACTCAAATGACGTCATTTGGGTGCTGGAATAGACTTATTCTAACACCGCAATAGAAAAATTTAATTTGATTTCCAACGATAATAAACACCAAAAAGTTATTAATATTGGTTCGGAGTTATTTGCATTACCGTCCCCGGTATAGAAAATCGACCAAAATTTTGTCAAAAATGAATTTTTCTCTAATTCAAATATAATTCTAACAAATGTTAAGAGATGGCGGGCGCATAAGAACGCGACCTTTAAAACACGAATCAATATAAGTGTAATAGAATAATACACAACATAGTTAAATAAAATATAAACAAAAGTGTGGCAAATACTAAAAATTGAAATGTGTACAAGTGAATAAAAGTAAGATTAATGTAATATAAACAAATGGTAAGTTTTTTCTTATTACGTTTCTCTAATTAAAAATTTTTTACTTGTTTTTATTTTGTTAATTCCGCCAAAAGTATTAGGTATATTTTGTACCACATCTGCGGAAAATGTTCTAGGAAGTTGATTTGAAGGAAGGAAGTTGATATTTTTGACTTTATCAGCAATTTCCTCAAAAAGTATTTATCGTAGGATAGTGATTTTTTTTTTCATATGGGAAAAAAAATAAATTTACTTTCCAACGGTACTAGACAAAAAAGGCTAGCGACCAAAATCTCGACAAAAAACGGCAACCTCTTGAGTTTTTGAAATTAAGAGTTTCAGTAAAAATGACTCGGGTAAAATTATTAGGGGAATCCGACTATGCAAACCGTTTCGGCCGCTAGTTTTTAGATTATATTTTTTTTATTATAATAAATAAACTGAAAATGTTTCTATAGACGAAACTGAAACTCCAATCGACTTCAGGTTTTCACTATTCCATAAATTACTACAAACAGATTCGGGGGAGTTTATTTTAAAAAGTGGTAAGAATAAATGGAGAACTCCGCGTGCTCTAAACTTCTTGAAATAGACAATAGCTACATACACGTTGATACAGTTGATTTTGTCGAAACAGACCAAAAAAAGACCTTATTGAAAACTGTTTTGCTTGATTTAGCTTTTTTGTGAGATAGAATAAACGCATTTTTTTACAAAATTTTGAAGAAAAACGTTGAAATTAGATCGAAATTGAAACTATTTTTAATTTTTTTTTGTATTTAAACATGCTTTTTAACAGAAAACTGTAATTTTTCACGAAATTTTACGAAAGCGGACCAAAAACCATAAAATTTCATTAAAAATTATGTTTTTATTTTTTTCAGGGATCTAAACAATAAGTTGTTCAGGGCAAAATTCACTTTGTCTTGAATTTTGCTTTGATAATCTGAAAAATTACCGAATTGAGTAAAACATGATGTTACTTTTTCATTTTTAATCCAAAACTCATTTTTTTACTAAAACGTTCCAAAAAAATCGCTAAATTAAGTTGTAAGTTAAGTTGATTTTTTTTTAATATAATAAGACTAATTTGTCATAAGATTTTAGTTGAAGTTGAAAAATATTACTGAATTATGACGAAAACGACATAATTTTTGCATTTTTCAATCGTTTTAGCACATTTTTCAGTCAAAATCAAACTTTTTTCAAGAAATCAGATTCAAGCAAACCGACAAATTAGCAACTAAATTTAAAATTTATGTTCGTTGAGTCAGTTTTGCTCGATTTAGATCATTTTTAAGCGAGAAACTTACGTATTTCGCAAGATTTCGTCAAAATATACCAAAAATCGCAAAACTGCAAAATTCGAAATAGTTTAAAAATTATAGTTGAATTAATATTATTGATATTTTTAACTTTATCGCAATTTCCCCAAAAAGTATTTATCGTAGGACAATGATCTTTTTATCATATGATAGAAAATTAAATTTGCTTTCTAACGGTACCAAACAAAAAAGGCTACCGACCAAAATCTCGACAATCCAAAAAAAAACGACAACTTCTTGAGTTTTTGAAGTTGAGAGCTTCAGTAAATCGTAAAAATTCAACTTTAATTATTAATGACTCGGGTAAATTTACCCGGGAAATCCGACTATGCAAACCGTTCCGGCTTAAAACCGACAGTTTTCAAATAATTTTTTTTTATTACAAAAAGCAAAAAAATTGAAAACGTTTCTCTAGTCAACTGAAACTCCAATCGATTTCGGGTTTTTAATTAAAAATAAATGGTTTTATAAAAATGGTAAAAATAAATGGACCACTTTTCCTCCCACCCCACGCGAGCAAAACCATCCCAACCAGTTTAACAATAATTAAAATCTCTACTTAGACCACGTGCTCTAAACCTCCTGAAATAGACAATAGCTCCATTGTCCTATTGTATTATAAAAAAGTGAATTGTGATTCGTCCAAGCGGAAGCCGAACTTTGGTTGCAACCAATAATAAAAATCAGTAATCATCAACATATTCTTGGCTCGTTAGCGACTCGAAATAATAAAAAATCATAAAGTTAATAAGAAGTCAGCCAGCTGTGTGTGCTCGACGCGCTGTGGCTGTGTTTTTTTTCCACTATCGTAAATATAATCGAATCATAAAAATGGCATTCCTCCGGGTCGATCCGAGGGGTGTGCCCCCTTAATCCGGGCCGCGTTAACAATGTACTTTACAACATTGTTGAGTAGTACATAAAATCGTTTGTTGTGGCGGATTTACGGCGCTAATAACTCAATAAAACGCCTTGAACTTTACAATAGACCTCATAACGCCGAGAATCGAGAGAAAGTCGATAATTGCGGAACAACAATTAATCCATAAATTATTTGAGAGAATGCTGCTGGCGGACGAGGTCGAAAAATATAACAAAGTCAAAAACTATTTAATGTAGGTGATGCCAGAGGCGACCGAGGGCAGCCGAGGGCATTTTCATTCACACAATTTTCCTCCAAATAATGTTAAAATATTCATCTTTATGAATATATGCCAGTCTTCTTATTGGGAGAAAAACAACACAAATTTACACAATTTAGTTGGAGTATCAGATTTTGAATGAAGTCATGTGCGAAATGCGAAATTTAGTCAAATGTAAAAAGTCGTCCGAGAAGATTAGCGGTTTTTGTGGTGATTGTAATTGTAATTTGTATGTATTTCACTTTGATGTGAAATGTTTATTATTGTTGGATTCCTTGGAAGATCTGGACCACCCGTCTACAATGCAATCTTAGAGTTCTTATATGGTTACGTCAGGACGATAAGAAATCCTGAGGTGTAATTCACCATTAAGAGACTTTAGAATAAAATAAATTTTATAAACAATGACGGAATTTTAAGCATTTGGTGTTTATTTGAAACTTTACATAATTATGTCTGTATCAACGGATAATAAAACGCTTAAATAAAAATCACAAGTCGGATAATTGCTTATATCTACCATTAAAATCATAAAGATTCCAGGGAAAGTTAGTAAAGACGCTAATAGCTGATTTTTTACGAAAACAATCAAAATTCTTTGAAAAAAATAACACAAACTAGTAAATAATATGTCAAATATTTGTTTTCTATTTCAAATTCGTAATAATCATCAGAATTCGAGTTAAGATAGAGCGCAAAAATTATAAAATCAAAGGACTATTATTTATTTTAATTTTCAAGTCCTACAGTAAAAGAAAATATAAAATACAATGTTGATTATACTTTCAATTGATCTAAATTGGGGTTAAAATAGAGCACAAAAAAGTATTGAAAAACTAATCAAGCCTTCAAAGAAGCGACGTATGTGGCTGTATGAAGTTAATAGTTTAAACTATTTAAAAAATTATACAGGGTGAATATAATGTATGGAACCAAGCGTTTTTCTTTAATCATTTGTCTCCAGAAAATAATAATTCATATAAAAAAAATTAATTTAAAAAATGTGATTGTATTTTGAGAACAAATGTTTTGTTTTGGAGTTATACTATTTTTTATGTCAAAATGGCAATTTAGAATTTTTTTTTGTAAACTAAGTATAAAGTAGATAGTTATAATCCTTAAATCATAATCTAT